GCAGGAATGTTAACTTGGATAACATCCCCCTGTCACCCACCACCTGCACTGGGTCAAGGGGACTTCCCAGGACAGAGCTGGCCCTCAGTTCGTTCAGTCTATTCCTGTCTGCAGTCAGGATGCTGCTGCCGCTGCAGCATTTATTTCCTTTCAAAGTTAAAAAAGGTCAACAAAACAAACTGAAATCCAAACCCTTCTGCATGTCCAAGTGTAAGCAAAGACAACAAACACCTCTACAGTTCTTTTTTAACCTCACTGGTGTTGGTTTGCAGTGAAAATGTAATAAACTGTTTACGTAACATGAGAGCTAGTGTGTTTGGCAGTGATACTGTAGGTGTCAAAGTCAAGTAAAGTCAAAGTGTTTATTGTCATATGCACAGTTAGGAAACATTTTTCCCTGTACAATGAAATTCTTACTTTGCCGTCCACAAGAATACCACACAATACAAATGAAATATAAAGTAGATAAATAAGTAACACAAAATCTAAGGCACTTTAAGTAGCAAATGCAGTAATATAGTAAAAATGTATAAGAATATAACAGAGAATGTATGCTGCACGGGAGCAGCATGTGCAGCAGTCAACAGTCATTGTGCAATTATGCATGTGCAAACTGAGAATGTAAACAGTACAGGTCAACAGTACATGACGTATTTCCTGGTAATAAACTCCTCAGCTGTTTAGGAGTCTGATGGCAGAGGGAAAGAAAGAGTTTTTCAGTCTAGTGGTCCTCCAACCGGAGGGTAGGGAGGCGAACAGTCCATGCCGGGGGTGGGTGGGGTCCTTGAGGATGGAGGTAGCTTTCCTACACACACTGCGGTAGTAAATGCTCTGCAGAGAGGGCAGTGGAGTCCTAGTGATCTTATCAACAGTCTTTAACGCCCTCTGCAGGTGCTTACGGTCCATAGCAGTAGTGCTGCCATACCAGACAGTGATGCAGCTGGTCAAGATGCTCTCAGCGATGTAGCTGTAGAAGTTGCTGAGGATCCTAGGCGACACGCCAAACCTCCTCAGCCTCCTCAGGAAGTACAGCCACCGTTGGGCTTTCTTGACCAGCTGTGTGGTGTTAAGTGTCCAAGTGAGGTGTGACCCACTAAACACACTATTGCATTTGTGCTATGCTCACCTGTATATGTTTGCAGGTCTGGGTGTGTGCTTGTAGATTTTGTGGACTTTTTCCACTTCCTCTTACAGACAAAAGTGGAATTTCATCATCATAACTAAGATTCAAGTGACACATGGAAGAACATTCAGGGTGTGTGAAGTGTGTGTTGACATTTAAATGGCTCTGCCTCACCTAAGGCTAACCAGGTCAAAGGGAAGAAATGATTGTTATGCGTGCATGTTAGTGTACCTGCTGGTCTCCTGTTTGAGTCGTCCCAGCTGAGCTCCCAGTTGATGATGTGAGCGCTGGTGCTCCTGGGGGTGGGCAGAGTTCAATGGGTTGACAGCGGAGTGGGTGGGTTCAGCTGTCGTCCCAGGATCGTCAATGGGAGGAGCTAAAACAGGAGCAAACTCTGCTTCCTCCTCATCTACCTCGTCCTCCTTCTCCGCGCCCTCACACTCTGACGCTGGGCCAAAGTGGGTCTGCAGCTCTGAAGAGGAAATTTTATAGGTCACAGCTCTGTGTACAAGACCTTATGTTATTTTCCATTTGTCCACTAGATGGTAGCAGAAGCTCAGGCTTGGTTGCAGCTGTCCGACAAGCCCACCTGGTATGAGGATAGTAATGGCAGCCTGCACAGCTCTGCGGATGATGTTGTCCATAGCAAACATCCAGTGGGGTTTAATGTGATGATTCCTCAAGACCTTATTCACCTGAGAATGTAGCACACAAAGAAACAAGGTCACATGATACTATAAAACAACTCAAAAATTCAGACTCAATCCATTTGACAGCAACTCATGGTTTTGGCAGAAATTGTTCATTATATTTGGTGTTTTAGTTGAAAATTCATTAATTAATGCATTCCATCCATCCATTTTCCTCCGCTTATCCGGGACCAGGTCGCGGGGGCAGCAGTCTAAGCAAAGATGCCTAGACTTCCCTCTCTCCAGACACTTCCTCCAGCTCCTCCGGGGGAATGCTGAGGCGTTCCCTGGCCAGCCGAGAGACATAGTCCCTCCAGCGTGTCCTGGGTCTTTCCCGGGGCCTCCTCCCGGTGGGACATGCCCAGAACACCTCCCTAGGAAGGCGCCCAGGAGGCATCCAAAACAGATGCCCGAGCCACCTCAGCTGGCTCCTCTCGATGTGGAGGAGCAGCGGTTCTACTCTGAGCTCCTCCCGGGTGACCGAGCTCCTCACCCTATCTCTAAGGGT